GCACTACATCAGTCTGCAGATCCGCACCTAATCAGGACCTGATCAGGACCTGATATCATGTGAACAGGCCCTCAAAAAGGACACTGTCACATTGCCTACAAATGTGCGTATTTACATTTCAGTTTTTAGCAAGCCTGTCACTGGCGAGTTTTCCTCAGTGTCAGAATCAGTTGCGTGACATGGCCCCCACGCTCAAAGCACTAAGCGTTATCACAAGGATAACTATCTTTATTTTTTAGTCATGTGACTGTAATTTTCAAATATAATTGGACTCAATTTAAAAAAAACTGTCCCTTGTTTTGGAAATGAGTATCCTAACCTGGTGTGTTGGCTGTTCGTGTTGAGACTCTTGTGACTCAGGAATGCCATTGGTTGACAGTGAGTGAGCTGAAACATTCCAATCAGTCACCGACACACCCAACACTCATTAAGAGCAACTATATTGATGTTTCTGAGCTATTGCTTGTTGAAGGAGTCCTTAAGTGCCTCCTGAATCTCATTATCTCTATGTGATCAATAAAGTTGTTCTTGATGAGTGTTGGTGACAGGATCATGACGGCTTGTCATTGGCTCGACTGGATCTTGACTGCTTGTCATTGGACTGGATCATGATGGCGTCATCCATCCACCACTGTGGGTCACTTAGCTGTGTGGCATGCACATGTAGTGTTATCCCATGTAATGATGAAACATCTTCTACAGTGAGCGTGTCCTTTATATACGGAATGAATGCAATTTAAATTAGCTTCCAATGCCTTCCATTCTATAGAAAACCCTAACCGAAAATTATGAATAAATGAGCACACACAGCTAGATGACACCTAAACCATGATCATGGGGCTATTGGTGAAAACCCTTAAAATGCACCCCATCACTCTAGTCAAATTCTCATAAAGACACTGGTACCATGAGTGCTTCTGTGGTACTGGCTGCAGCTTTGTAAAGCAAGAGGAGCTGTGAAGGCAAGCAGATGTTTATGTGTGGAGCAGCGGCGTACAAACAGGTAATCGTAAAAGTACAATTGTTATTGCAACCATGCAGTACTGAGACAAAGTCTTATACCACCCAAGGCGAAAAGGCCAAAGTATGCCCCCTTCCCCATATGGGCTACTTGAGCAGCATAGGTTGCAGGTCCTGCTGAAGCACCAAAGGCTCCTGACTCCTCTGCCTACCCCTCGGCCTGATCCTGCAACCATGGCAATCTTTGTTTTTATAACGAGATTTCCAAGTACCAACATAGAAGAGTACGTCAATGGTAATTCCCTAACACAAGCTTGTTATTACCATATATAGGGCATCTTTATAGGAAAACCAGATCTATGGCAAACATGGATGGTTTCAAATCAGGGTCCATGTTGAAAATATAACTCCAACTTAACCCTTTTTTGTTGTTATTTTGGATAGAGTAGAGAAGGGTAAGAACCACTGCTGCCTGCAGCCTCACATGCTGTCCTGGTGACAACATGGTCGCTTAGAGTGTAGACATATATTGAATGGGCACCAGACCAAATGACTGAAGTACTCTCAGAGTGGCATGGCTGCTCTGCTGCAAAGCACAATGTTTGCAGTGTGTCTGCCACCCCCTTTCCAGCCAGAACATCCCTCCCAAGTTGCTAAGAGCCAGATGGGAAGATGTGTATTTCCCTTACACATCTCCCCACCCTGCTCTTAAAAACCTGGAACACTCTGGCTGGCGTCCTACCTACCAATTACATCAGTGGTAGATGGGACACCATCCAGAGCATACCCCCTCCACCCCCGCCAGCCAGAGCATCAATCCAATCCCCCTCTCACACCCCGCCTCAGGCGGCAAAAAGTCTAGGGACACCACACGTGGCCTGCATTTTATGAATGTGCCACAGAATGCCAGGCAGCAGTGTGAATTGGATAGTGTTATCTGGTATAAAGAAGCCTCTAAGCTTTAATACTGACCGATTTGCTTTAAATGGTCTGAATTATTTATGCTTTCTTGCCATGATCCATGAGACTGATTACTTGGACCATTACAATTCCTTAAGGAGTCACGAAAGATGTAGCTGGATTGAATGATAACCAACACAACACAAACAGTTGAGAGAAACCACTTGTTTAATGACCGTAACATATTTCGCACTCAGCATGTGCTTTACCCTTGTCACTGTCAGGTAGGCAACACTGAAGATTTGACACTGTCTGTAGCCAGAATCATGCAGATACAAAGACAGTATTAATAAATATTTATCACTCTATAAAAAAATATCCAAAAGTCCATCTTTGTGGCAATATCCGCTACATAAGAACAAATGCTGTGATTTTGGCACGGGCCAAAATGGAACCATGGCTCCTTGTTTTGGTGTATCATTGGTGTCCTTACCGGGCTTGCTGTTAGGTGCAACACCTATCAAATGACAGCACATGGTTTGCTGTAAAGAAGGAGGGTCCTGAAGGCTGACACCAACTTTTTAAAAAGTTATAGAGCAGCGCTTCTCTACCGTACTGCATTAAAACTCCAATTCAGCTGAAGGAGATCTGAAGCCTCATTTTTATTCATGCTCAGTCTACAGTTCTTGGCTGAAAGCTAGATTCCAAAAAGTGAATGTATTACCTTTTCTGTGATGGTCTTACTAACCAGCACCACCACTGTCGGAATGCATGAATATTCGGTTATTAACTTTTGTTGAGTGAATCGGCCGAAATTCTAACAGTGTATGGACAACTAAAAAGGGAAACTCCAATTTAAAAATGAAAAAAACAAAAATTGCATATGTAAATGCTACACAAGCCATTTAATGTAATGTTATTGAAAATGACCTTTATATTTACAACTGCATCTGCTGTAATTTTATAAAACTGTCCAAAAAATTAAAGGGTTTCTAAACCCTCCGGCCTTTCTGCATATATCTACTGCTAGCAAGCAGAAGATATATGCAAAAAGTAAAAAAAACACACAAAAAAACGCTTTAAAATCGGTTTAAATTTACCGCTGTCTTCGCTGCGCGCTCCCGTACGAAAATCCGAAACTGCTCGGGTGGTCGCAAAGCATCTTGGGGCAGGCGCATGTGCAGTTCGGATTTTCGGTCGGGAGACAAGGAGAGACGCAAGGTAAGTCTATGGACGCGTGCACCCGCATGCGTACACCGTGGGACAGGAAGTGCCAGAGGAGTCAGCACTGGATCGGGGACCCGCCACAGCGCTAGAGAGAAGGCTGAAAAGGACAGGAAAGAAGAGGAAGATCGGATTAAGAGACATCATTTAAGGTAAGTGTTTTACTTAACATTGGGGGGAGGGGGAAATTTTTTTGACTTTAATGTCATTTTAAATGCAATATGGCAACCTGGAAGTGTTGTGTACACAGTTGGTGTACCGAACTCCCGCAGAAATGTCATTTCCTGCTTCTGTGTTTGGCTCACTGATTTTGACAGGCACCTGCACTAAGATACAAGTATAATTTTAGGCATCCCTTGCAATAGGAATTTCATTTTTGGTGAGAAACTTCCTGAGGCTTAATTACTACTAAAGGGATGCCGACACTGCAACTTTCCTCGCTACAACACAGAGGGTCCACCAGATGAGTGTAATGAACCCAGACCCTCCCATACAGGGATCAGTCTGGAGAGGACATGCTGCAACAAACTGCTAATTCTTAAGAACAGAAACAGGTAGGAACATGCAACGAAGTTTGTTAAAATCCTGGCAATGTACATTTATCACCCAGAGGGGATTGATTTGTTTTCTCTGTAAAAGTGGAATTACTCACAACTTAACATCCTGCAGCACTAACGAGATATATGCCACGAAGGCACACTGTACTGGAGTAACCCTCAAATGATACCTTCAAATTAAAAAAATAATGATAAATGAATGAACAAATGTGTTCAGTGTTCACACTTGCTTCCCTCCTTCTTTACTGCACCATGCTTATCATGACATTACAGATGTGCTCTAAGTTGCTCTAAGCTTGCCTCAGGTCACCAGAGAAATAATAATCTAGTGCTATTTTTTATCTTTTGTCCTAAAAAAATAGAATGCTCCATTACCTGAACTAATTCGTGGGGGAAGTTTCTAAAAAACATAGAGGAAGTATTTATTTTACATTTATTAGATGCATGCCTGTTATGACTGTTCCAACAATGGATCTTTTTATGCAAATTTAGCAGCTCTTTGAAATGTTTGACCTCAAATAAAAGATTTATATGTGGCTTGGGGTATACTTTCCACATACATGATAGCACAATTACTCATAAGCACAATTACTCATAAGCTATTATTTTAAAATACTGATCCAAAGATCTAACAATGGATTGTTTTGTTTCATGAGGACGTAAATCCCAAACCTGAACTATATCCTTACTAAATAATTATGACCCTTGTGACCTGAAGTTCACCCATAGTGTGGCCAACAGGAAGCACCCTTTAAAGGAGAACTATGGGGTTAGGGCTTTTCCCCATAGTTCTCCTTAGGGTAATGGGAGGACACAAACTAGCGTCCTCCCGTCACCCTAAGCTCAGTATAGTATATTGAGACGCCGCAGCTGAAGCGGATCCCGATAATTACGTCTGGATCCGCCCAGCTACGTGAGTGACAGCTGGCTCTGCGTATCTAGAGGCAGAGCCAGCTGTACCCGCCCCCTCCCCCGTCCGTTCCGTCAGTCAGCGCTGGAGGATCTGAGCGGGGGAATCCAGCCCCTCCCCTCTCAAGGCAGAGAGCCGTGACAGGATCGAGAGGTGAGCGAACGCCGGTATGTGTTCGCTCACTTCCTGATCTACTGAGCCGACCTGTGACAGTTTCATTGTCACAGGTAGGCTAGAACTATAAGGATGAGTGAAAAGCACTCACCTCATAGTTCTTTAATTTTCATACATTTTCTCATGGGGTGCTCTAACTGGACCACCTTGTCAAAGTAAATTTTTTTGGGAATAAGCTAAAGTGGAATGAAAAAAATAATAATATATAAATCTGTTGTAAGGACAACACATCAACCATGACATCCTAGGAGGACTCAAAAGAGGTTTCAGCTACTATATAATGCCCAGCAGCTGGTTTTGGAACTGCTTGCACCAAAATATTAGACCTTCTCAAAGGTCAATCCAAATGGAAAATGAATTGTGGGTAGTTGTGAAAGACAGAAATTGCTGTAGGCTGATTTTGATGTCACACCAAGGACTGGACCAGTGGTGACCTGCAGAATAGGTAAAGACAGTAGATAACATTGGTATACAGAAGATACTTGGTAGGGGGTGTAACAGGTTGTTTAAAACCATTACTACAGAAATGTTCTAAGTGCAGGAAGAAAGTCTGTACAGCAGAGCACTGTTTGGTTTACTAATGCTCTGCACAACTGTAACAGCATTGATATAACATGCTTTGCAAGATGATCTAAAGAAGGTCCACAACAAGGCCACCCAACTGGTGACTGTTCATGATATTTTGTTTGCCTGCTAATCTTCCAGTTAGTACTACAACATGTGTATAGTTCTTTGTTTAAGACAAGGTACATCCCATTTCAAGTCAAAACTGTTTTAGTCTTTAGGTTAACTTAAATGGTGTCCTCCAAAACAGAACTTTCTTTTAAACAGAGTGCTGATTGCATTAGATTGATATATATCTGCAATGCTCCTGCTGAACCAGAAAATTTCCTTTGTACAGTTTTCCATGAGTCACTCTAAACTTTTGCTCAGGAAAGACTCTAAATTCCATTTAAATTTTGTTTTTCATCATAAAAATGGAAGCCAGTGCTCCCAAAGTAAGTTCCTTAAGCCTATCTGGCTACACCAATGTTCTTGTATTGACACATGAGGAGATGTTTAAATGTCTTTTTGAAAGTGGCATTGCACAGAGCGTAGCATGCTGGGTTTATTGTGCTGTTCACGTAGCAGAGCCAATATCCTATGTACCACATTGTTTCGGGAATGCAAGTCTCACAAAATGTGTTTATGAGGACCATGACATTGTAAGGTGTCCATGTGATGATGAAGGCTAGTAGAATGGCAAAGATGGTCCTGGTAACTTTCTTCTCCCTAGCTGCCATCTGCCGTTTCTTCCTCACCTGATTGCGGGCAATGCTTGCAAACTTCCGTGCCACATTGCCGGGACCAGTATTTGGCAAGCCAGAATCTTTGTGCAGAGGAATTGAGCATTCAGGCACAATCTCTATGGCTGTTATGCACTCGTTGCCTGTCTGCTTGGTGACAATCTTGATTTTTGACCACTTTGAAGCAGCATTCACTCTTGGGTGCAAAGACTGCATGCTCTGAGTGGGCGCCAAGACAACACCTGAAGATGCATTACTCAACTGCTTCTCCTGAGGATTATTGGTCATGCTGGCTGTGCTTGATTCATTCGAGGTCTCTTTCTCTTCCACTGACTGAAGGTTGGTCAGTGACTTCTCTATTTTCCCATTTCTCACTCCATTCTCCTCTTCTGGTTTTGCTTCCAAAGGCTCTGGTTTGGGAGGACTCTTGGTCTGTTTTATAAGAGGACTTTTCATAGAGCTAATGGGTTTCTTCTTCTCTTTTTTAACATCTGGACAGTGCCTGCGGACCCTGCTCCTGCTAGCTAATGAAATATGAATATACAATATGGTCATGATGACCACAGGAAGGTAGAAGGCTGCGATGGCGGTTCCAAAAGTGACTGCAGGGTTGGAAAGAAACTGGATGTAGCATTCATCATCCTTCACCGTCCTCTCACCCACAATGAATTGCCAGAATAGTATGGCAGGTGCCCAGAGGGCAAAGGAAAGGAGCCAGGCAGCTGCAATCATCAGACCTGCCATCTTGGTGGTTCTTCGAGCGGGATAAGTCAGTGGTTTGGTAACGCAGAAATACCGATCAAAGCTGATGATCAGGAGGTTCATTACAGAAGCATTGCTGACCACATAGTCTAGAGCCAGCCACAAATCGCACACAATGGGACCAAGAGGCCAGTAGCCCTTAATAATGTACACAGAGTAGAGGTTCATGGAGAAAACACCAATAATGAGGTCAGCACAGGCCAAGCTGAAGAGAAAATAATTGTTCACTGTCTGCAACTGTCGATTGACCTTGATGGAAAGCATGACCAAAATGTTTCCCACCACGGTGACTAAGCTAAGCGAGCCCGTCACTGTGGCAATGAAAATTATCTCCATTGTTTGGTACTGGCTTCTAGCATCCATCGTATTATTTGGACTTTGCGTATCAACGCTTGTTGTGTTCAGCCATGAGGTGTTTTCCATTGTAGTCGGCCAGTAAGATGTAGAGAGATTGTTGAAAATATCTGCAAAGAAGAAAGAGGAGAAAGGGAAAAAGTTTTAAAAATTGTCACAAACATTGTCACCTAGATAATTCAACACACAGTATAATGCCACCAAACTCGTCTAAAATGTTGTTGAAGGTCAGACATGTTTTTTTGGTCCTTGCCTAATGACTTTCAAAGATGACAGCGACTAGCATCTTAGGCCATTGTTATTAGTTAATTAGTGTGCCATTTTAATGAGCTTGACAGTTCCTCTGGTCCCAATTCACAGAAGTTGCTCTATTTCTGTACAAAGTGCCGCTGTTCAGGGAGCTTTTGCAATGCTCTCATTGAACCATATTTTAGACTCGAGAAAGTTTCTGAAATCACGGTCTGCTCTGTAAGAAAAAATAAAGGTAACTGTCTACTTCTTATGGTAATTAGTATAATTATAATCAACTTTAACACAATGCACTGGTACACTTCTGAGTGATATAATACCCACGCCGTACCAAGGAGAAAAAAAAACACATGTACCACACAAATGTACTGGAAAAAAGGGGCAACCGAGTATGACCAAGAACAGTGTGGGCGACCAGTAGGGGTGAAATGACAACCTTCTAATCCCAAGGGGTTTAAGTTAACATGCCTTTGAGGGTTCAGATGGTGACATCAGGAAGGGAATCAGTTATTTCTATAATCTGTAAGCGTACTGTTTGGAGACTCCCAGGCTAAGTACTGCAGTATAGCAGTTCTGGATCCTAAACCCTATCTAATACCCTGGTAGCTGCTATACCCCTTGTACCAATAACATTCCTTCCAAACATTCCTAATTTAAAGGTCAAATTCCTATTTACAGGTCCTAAAAAAAGACTGTAGCTGAAATACTGGGTGTATTTTGTCCACAAAATTGTCAACTTAGAGCAGGTTTCAAGTTCAGCTTCACCCAAAACTGATATTTACATACCCTGTTTCCCCGAAAATAAGACCTACCACGAAAGTAAGACCTAACACTATTTTTCAAGATTCCTGTAATATAAGACCTAGTGTGGTTTTTGGGGGTAAAAAAAAATATAAGACAGTGTCTTATTTTCGGGGAAACACGGTATTAGGGAGTTACTGATGCACTACATTACCAGTAGTAGCTTCTTATACTTCTGTGACTCAAGTAGAGAGATTTTCCCATAGCAGTTTCTACTCCCACCCACTCTAATAAGGCCATAATACAGGTGACCTCAACAATTTATTTGTTTACATCAACTTATTGATAAGACCATTATTTAGCATCATGATGGCCATGGTAATTGCCTGGAACTGGGGATTCTAGCAGATAAACTGTTATGTAGATCTCATTCCAGTCCTGACCGTAGAGTCCCTAATGAATCATGGTGGGTGCTGCAGTGATGAGCGGATGGTTCCGCGTTAAGAGCAATGAAAAGAAGAATCACTGGGCACTCTGACAGTGATGTGTCCAGTGAATATATCCTTTATTGACGCATGTTCAAATGTTCTGAATCTCACCACCAAGGTCCCTTTGAGATATGAAAAGCTGTAAGGTAATTCAATTTGCCAAAAGACAAGCAAAATAAAGTACTGCTTTTCCTTAGGCACTTTCTCTTTGCTTTGGGGGAAGCAAAGTGACATTGTGAGTTACTCTCTTTTCTCTCCTATGTGACCGCACTGATTCTTGGCGATTAGTTACTTACATTGGTGTGGGGAGAGACCTCAAGCCTGTGTAAGCAGCTTGGAGCTTCCACAAGGTTTTGTCTCCTTTCTCTCAGCATTGACAGTGATAATGGAGGAGCAAATGGAAAGTAAGTAGCAAGAGCTGTAGGCACAGTTAATGTTAAAGAGACCCTGACATGTGGAGTGTTTCAAACCCTAATGTGATGACTGAATCCCAGGCCATAGTGTCAGGCCAAGTTTTGGTGCTTCTCGATAGCATTGGAGCTTTCTCCTCCTTTCCCACCACCTGCACATTTTGATTGTCCAGTGAGACTGCCCTTTATAATGATGGGCCAATACAGCTGCGTGAGAGTGGGATATAGCAGCACTCTCTAACCCTCATTGTGTCAGAAGCTTGGCATTCAGACGTGTTTGGGAGGCTTTTGCATGTATGCGCATGCATCTCTAGGTGCCTAGACTTTATACATACAAAACTTATTTTATTTCCACTATGACATATTCTATTTTTTCTGTTTGCTGCTACATGCTAATACTACATGTTGCTTTACGGTTTATGGTGGTGCCAAGTTACTAATTAAATTGTATATTTGTGGGAGTGCCATTGTCATCATGGGCCTCAACCTTCACTTTCTTGAGATCTCAAACCCAGGGCTGCCGAGAAACTAAAACACTTATGTCAACTGGAGGAAGGAAAATTGTAGCTATAGCCATAGTTCCCTCTTCTGGAACCAATTCAATGGTACCAATTCTATCATCCTCTATCCTTAGTCTGAAGTATGGACCTCAATAAATAAAATGCATTACTTCTTCTAAAAGTCTTATACTAAACTAACTTGAGAAAACAGTATTAAAAAGTAGTGGTAAAACGAAGCACTTGAGGATTTAAACCAGCGTTTCTCAACCTTTGTACTCTTGAGGAACAATACAAAAAATGTTGAGGTCTTGTTATAGTTTTCTGATCTACAGCTAATGGTACATTAGTGCAACCAGTGAGTTGTAGTTGTAGCAATGCATGAAGGAATAAAATAGCTAAATCTAAAATATTTACCCTCAGACCCACATCTTAGACTATTTACTCTTTGATGAATTATTTAATGGCAACCCATTAGAGGATACCGGCTCCCTCCTCCCCGCACAACCTGGACTCCTCTGCCTCTCTATTTCTCTTTCATCCTTCTACTCTTTTTCTCTTTTCTTTCTTGCTTTCTTTAAGGAGAGCTTGCCCATTGATATTCATTCTACATTTGGCCTAAAAATATGTACGTTTGTCAATGTGATTCCCACGTCCTCCTGCAATTGAAAAGGGATAGATACGCACTGGGGTGTCCCGAGCCTGGGTGACACTTGGAGCGGTTACCGGGGGTCACCCCGCCCACTCACCAAAACATCAGCGCGCACGCGCGGCGATCTTCTTATACTACCCGGCGGGATAAGGTATATCGCCGGGTCCCCTCCTCTCTCTCCTGATACTGTCGGGCGTTCGGTCCATTACCGAGCGCCCGACTTTTCAGAGGGGGGATGACACCAAAATGACTCTGTCATTTTGGTGTCTTACCTCCAATAGTGTCACCCGGGTGCGGGTCCCACCCCCCATGTGACGCCACTGGATACGCACATCCTTACTTTTTATTATTTTTCAATTATACAAAACTTTCTATACTCCTCTATATTTAAACATTAAGAGGTACACACTAATTTTTCTTGAACCTAAAGATTCGAGAGGAGGTCTTGACGATTGTAAACGTTGATGCCTTTGACAATAATGGAAACATTTTTTCTTCTTCAAGGCCCATGATATGTCTATGTCATAATCTGTATTGCTTATTACTGTACACTTTATGTTGACTCTCCGACCATAATACGACTTATCTTCTTTGTATTGTAAAATACCTTTTTTTTTTATTCAATAAAAATTTATTTTCGGAAAAAAAATAATAGCAAAATCTACATTGGAATTCAGTGCAAAACCCGCTAACGAATTGGAAACTGTCTTTCACATTCTATCCTACTCTAAAAAAAATAAAGTGCTTGGGGTTGAAAACTGCTCCAGTTCATTTTCACCAGTTCTTAATCAAAGTCGCTCACATGCTTGGTATATTTGGAAATATGTTTTTCTGACGGCTCCATTTTGCAGATATGCTTTTGTGAGATTACCTAACTTCTTCAGGTCACAGCAGTATTAAACAACAAATCCATGTTGGACTGTGTAAAGCTAGATGTGCGCCATCAAAGGGGAAATGTTGAATGAGAGAAGAATGAGAGCTTGGCAGGGTGTTTCTGCTGCGTGAAGAGAAAAGGTGATAGCGTCTGTCTAATAATGTCCAATAAGATTAGCCTGTGGTGTTAAAGAGCAAGTAAGGGCTTGTTCACACTGGCCGCATGCTACCATGTGTTTTAGCGTATGAGCTATTGTCCGCTGCATGCTGGCGGTGGGACAATGCAAGGCACTGTTTACCTTTTTTTAAAAACTTTATTGATATGTCAAAGTGACATTTAATTAATTCCTATGTACCAATGCACCACAAATGGATGGCGATTAGTAAGTTCCTTTGAGCTATGGCAGCATTAAAAAGTTTAAATATGGCTGCATTTTTCAGCAATGTACTGCAACACACCTGGTGGCAGCATTCCGATGTGAACAGGCAGGGCCGTCCCTCTACCGAGGCAGCCTGAGGTGACTGTTTTAGGCAGCATCTCTTTGGATCGTGTGGGTCACTTTCCGACCAGAGTGTTCCAGGTTACTAAGAGCCCTTAGCAATCGGTAACACTCTGATAGGTGCTCTGCCCAGCTCTCTGACCTCACTGATTGCCACTGGTTACTAGCAACTAGTGACGTCAGTGAGCTGGGCAGGATGCCCGACAGAGGTACCATGCAGCACCCTGCCCACACCAATACCACCTCACCCCTGGGTAACGTGCACTACCATGACCCCCACTTGCTTCCCCGCCCCGTAACGTGCACCGCCAACACCCCCGCCACATTCAACCCCACGGCAACACGTGCCGCCATGGAAAAAAAATGTTGATGACACTACTCAAAATATGTTATTTTATTCTGGAAGGTTTTAATTTGTTGTCACTTACACTTCTTAACAATATTTGCAGCTGTAGTCACAGGAACATTAAGCTGCCTGGTGGCAGTCTTATAGCCTTTACCATGGACGTGCTGGTCTATCATCTTATTTCTGATCTCCTCAGTTTGATTTCTGTGGTCCACGGTCAGTGTGGTGCACACGATGATACCAAACAGCAGAATGACTACTTTTCCCCACAGGCTGATGGAAGACGTGTGTGATACTAATTACAGAAAACAGTATTATCACCAATTATGATCCAATTATTTATAATCTTGTCTA